ACCTCCAAGGCGTTGCATCCGGCCTAGTTAACTCAACTATACTTCTTTATAAACTACACTAACACCACGGACCACTAAGCGCCTCTTAGGCATCCGGTTTTCACAAACACTTTTAGAAAACCTTTTTCCCCAAAAATGAGTTTTGTTTGTTTTAAAACATTTTCCCTTCTCTTTTTCCCAATGGATGCACGAATGTTTCATGCTTGAATTCGTCAATTCATCCATAAAACTTTCACACATATTATTCAAAGTAAATTTCTAAGAATCCATAACTCATGCTTTCACTTCACATTATTCAAGCATATTAGGCATACAAAACACAAATTTTATTACACATAGGCATGCTTATACCCATTATATCAACTATCACATAAGCACATCTTTCACATGTAATAACTTAAACTAATTAAGCATGCAATTCAACACTTTATTAAGAATTAACTCACAAAAAGACATAAGAAATCATGCATTAGTACACCCCTACCTCAATGGAGATGAAAACCCCCAAAACTCCAAATCAAAGCCTTCGAAAATTCCAAGATGGCCAAAAATGTGAATTACTCCTATCTAAGCGTGGATCTCAACAAACTCTTCGATTTGCCGCAAACGGTACCCAAAAATTTCTCAAAATTGAGAAAGTAATTAGAGATTGAGAACAAAAGAAAAAGAAAAAAGAAAAGAAATATGAGGGAGAGAGAGAACTTACGGGGAGAGAGAGAAATGAGACCAATTGTGGTCTCTTGGCCAATAAAAATGGTGGTGGTGAGTCCCACAACTTTCAATTATCTTTTTCCTTTAAATTTTCTACCACAATTTCATATACATGTTTTTAATTTACTACAACCGTGATGACCTTGTGGGCGGGTGTGCCGTGGGCGGGTGCGAGAGACACTGTCAGGCTACCACACTGGCGAGTTACGGGTGCACAGTCCCACATCGCCTGGGTAGAAGAAAGGTGAAGTGCTTATATGTAAGTGTGTCATCTCCAATTGGTATGAGGCCTTTTGGAGTGAAACCCAAGAACAAAACCGTGCGGGCTCAGGCCCAAAGCGGACAGTATCATACCATGTGGTGGAGTGGTTCGTTACAAATGGTATCAGAGCCTGACCCAGTCGGAAGTGTGTCGACAAGGACGTCGGGCCTCCAAGGGGGGTGGATTGTGACGACCTTGTGGGCGGGTGTGCTGTGGGCGGGTGCGAGAAACACTGTCAGGCTATCACACTGGCGAGCTATGAGTGCACAAGTCCTATATCGCCTGGGTAGAGGAAAGGTGAAGTGCTTATATGTAAGTGTGTCACCTCCAATTGGTATGAAGCCTTTTGCAGTGAAGCCCAAGAGTAAAACCGTGCGGGCTCAGGCCCAAAGCGGACAATATCATACCATGTGGTGAAGTGGGTTGTTACAAATGGTATCAGAGCCTGACCCAGCCGGAAGTGTGCCGACGGGGACGTCGGGCCTCCAAGGGGGGTGGATTGTGATGACCTTGTGGACGAGTGTGTCGTGGGCGGGTGCGAGAGACACTGTCAGGCTACCACACTGGCGAGCTACGGGTGCACAGTCCCACATCGCCTGGGTAGAGGAAAGGTGAGTGCTTATATGTAAGTGTGTCATCTCCAATTGGTATGAGGCCTTTTGGGGTGAAACCTAAGAACAAAACCGTGCGGGCTCAGGCTCAAAGCAGACAATATCATACCATGTGGTGGAGCGGGTCGTTACAACAACCACACAATTAAGCATTTGAACAATTTACTTTGGCACATAATAATTATGCATGGCATGCAAATGACCCGAGACATAACTCCTGTGCATAACAATTCCGGTAGCGGGTTCCACCCGGGATCGTCCGGCTTGAAAAATGCCAAAATGACAACCGATGTATTTCCAAGAGTCCTAAACTCAATGGAATGCCCCAACCAACTATCGGACACACCCGGCACACCCCACGGTGTCTGGTACGCAAAAACGAGAAAAGGATGAAAATACCCCCAAAAATCAAAAAATTCCAAAAATTGAAAAATGACAAAAATTGGAAACATTACAGGACCCACGGGTTCGGGTCGTTACAAATATTGCAATAGTAATAAATATGTGGAACCCTAGGTTGGTTTTGCAGCGTAATTTCTTTGAACTGGCACGACGCCGGTCGTCACTTTTCTTATCTTGTAGGATCCAGACCGTGATAATTTTTGCATCAATAGTTGGCGTTGTCTGCAGGGAACGTATACTACAGAGAAATTCAAAGAAAATACGCTCCAAGCCTAACCTAGGGTTCCACATATTTATTACTATTGCATTATTATTTGTAATAGTCTTTGCTATGCTAAAAATTAAATACAGTCTTGCTTTGACTTTTAATGGCTCAAGTATTAACTTGATCGTCGGAGTGCACCGGTCCGGCACCACGCCGGTTGTCACTTGTACTAATTTTTACATCAACAAAATACAATTTAAATTAATTTGATTTCAAATACAACTCAAACTTAAATTCAAATATAATTCAAATTTGAATTCAAAATCAAATGTAACTTCTTTCTCTCTTCAGCACCTACTGCCACATATCCCTGGCTCTGTAAAATCTCTATTATAACCACTTTGGATGACTGAAACTACTGATAGTTGGTAATCGCTATTTCAAGAAATAGTGATTCAGCACCCCACTAGCAATTGAACATTTTCACACTGAATTTACTCAAGAGTGTTACTGAGTGGCCCAACACAAAATTTAATTTTAGGTGCAAACAATCATTTATCATGGATTAATTTTAGGTGCAAACAATCATTTATCATGGATATTAATGAATTTCGAACGTAATGTTGTGCATTTTGAGCAGTGGAGGAAAGCCGTAGGGATGAGTATGGAGATTTGTTTTGCTGTGGAGACAGAGAAGCCATGTTATTCATTAGGGAAAAAAAATAATAATAAATAAATTGTTTTAATGTTAAAAGATGGGTAATGACCGGCCTTTAAATTATTATTTTTTAATTTAAAATAAATGTCTAAATTCCAGAGGGCCAGGGACAGAGGCCATCCTCCGGAGGACCCAAGCATTGTCCTCCTCTTACAATTGATGGATTAGAAATTTTACTTTATTCCATTTAAACAAAACCAATTACTGAAACACACCTAATGTGATCTTCTGTTTTTTTTTTCTTTTTTTTTTAATTCCCCATAAATTAAATTATCCTACTATTTAATACAAATGCATTTGGAGTGGGAGGCATTTTTGTAATACAATTGTAGGTTCCCACAGCCTTTCTCTAGTCAGAAGCCATGCCCGTAGCTTGAATCACTCATCAGATTTTCCAGCAGTCGAAGAAATGAATGGCAAAAAAAAAAAAAAGGCTATAAAGTTAATTACATTTCCATGCAAACGATACTGCTCATTCACGGGGACATGATGTGCACAAGCATTCCTGACATTCCCAATCGATGGTGGTTTCGCCAGCACAGAGTAGTCACTCGTGTTGAGGACGAAATGATCCGTAGTTTACAGGCTAAGCTGTAGCAGAAACTGAGGTGAGAATATATCCATCAGTCCCAATATCAAGCCATTATAGGTGGCCCAACCTCTCCTGAAGCAGCTGCATTAACTTTGGATGCTGCTCTAGAAGCTGGCAAAGTTTATCCTGGTCACTCAATAGAGACTGAATAGCTTCTGGGGAACTGAAGTAATGTTGTAATGGCATTCCAGAATATTCTTGCTGCTGGCTTGCACCATCCCCTTGCTGATGCAGAACTTGCTGGTGAGCGTGTACAACCTGCAGCTGCTGCCGTGGATGTGAAAAGTTCTCTTCTTGTTGGTGTTGATAAAATACATGGATTGGAGAAACTTGGGGTTGTTGCAACATTTGTAATGGCTGCACTTGCAATTGAACAGGGCTCTGTAGCATAGACACACCTTGCTCGGATGGCAATGAAGCTGGAATAGGTGGCCTGAGATGCTGAGGCGGCTGTGGAGGACGAGGAAGTTGTGGTGGCTGCAGTCGCTGCAATTGAGCAAGAGATTGTACAGATTGGAAGGAAGAAAGAGGAATCGGAAGATTCTGCGAGATAATGGGGAGATTTTCTCCCTGATGAGGAGTTGGGCTGCTTGCATAAAGACTTGTGGGCATTGAAGTGGGCCTACCAAAAAGTAAGGGTGGTACTGGTGGAGGTGGTGGATAAGAAGTTACCAGGGATCCTGAGGCAGAAAGGTTGCCAAATCGAGCATCATTTAAGGATGCAACCGAGGTCTGAGCTAACTCTGTTGTCCCAATACTAGTTTGATTGTATACTGAGGATTGGGAAGCAGTAGTTCTTAAAGATGTCAAAGGGGGCGTGGTTGAATAAGGAGGTGCCAACTCAGGAAGTGGTGGTGGAGGCCTAGCAGATCCACCAGGGGAAGACATGAAAGTTCGTGAAGGAATGAGACTAGAAGATGGCAATGAGGTACTGTTACGTAAGGCAGATAGATATTCTGTTTGGACATGGCAGCCTGTGGGCAGAGGTGGCTGCACATCTGTGATAGAGTTAACAAACGGAGATGACTGACTTGGAAGAGGATCCGGGGTCTGAGAATGTACAGGCGCAATTGTTGGAGGTGGTGGCATAGGAGGTAAAGGAGGTTGATTCAACGGAAATTTCTGGTCATACAATCCTTGAGAACGTGTACTTAAAGAAACAGCACTAGTTTGTTGCAGACCATGCTTCAGATAGAAGTTGTGTGGTGGCATCCTAGAATCAACAGGTACAGATGATGTGGAAGCCTTATTATAAACCATGCCAGGAAATCCATAACTACTAGCTGCTGCACCAGAATCAAACCCCCTGGAGGTCTTAATTGGAACATTATTTATGTCATCAGAATGCTCGTGATACTTCTTATCTGAAGAAATACTTGGTTCCCGAGTCAAAGGCATCTCAGGGTGAACAGACATCCTTGAAAAAAATTCACTCTGGGCATTTTCATCAACATTGGATGCTAATGGTGGACCCAAGTGAGAAAACTGACTACTTCCATTCACATCGCTCTCTGTTTCCTCAACAACAGGTGAAGGCTGCAGTGGATTATCGTCTGGTTGCGGGAACGCAGCTTATCATCAGATTCTGATTCCTCACCTTCAAACACTATATCAATACCCTGAAGTTCATCATCAAGATCCGGTTTCAACTGCCTAGATTTATTAGACTTCTCCGCATCTCTTTCATTATCAGGAGGTGCAGTTTTCATTTGGGCAGCTGCATCACCAACTGACATCCCTATAGAATTTTGGGGTTCCCTCTGTCTGGCCATGAATTCATCAACATGGATAGATGGAGGTCTCCCACTGGTTGAACCTACACGTGGCACAGCAATTAAGTTAGAACTACTAGTACCATCAACATTTCTTTCCCTGGCAACATAGTCATCCACATGCATAGAAGAAGGCCTGCTAGAATTTGGCTTGCGCTGCCGGAAAGTGTCCCTACGAGTAGGGCCAGAAGGGGCAGCAGAAGGCCCCGCTCCACGGGAGAACGAACTTTTGGCTGTAATCTCAGCTGGAACATTCTCTCCTTTACGCCTGTTTGGCCCCTCAAGTGAGGACATTTTCCTTTTGACAGGAAGAACAACTTGTGACAATCTATCACCCATATTTTCTGGACATTCCCACAGAAACTTATCTCCAAGTCCACCAAAACTGTAATCTTCAGCCTTTTCAGCAATGCCATCTGATATATTACATATCTTTGATGAGACTGGAACATCACCTGATGACCGAGGAATGACAATAGAGATTATATCATCTGCCTCTACTGAGCCAGTTGGCTTTTGTAGCAAAAAGGATAATGACTTTGCAGACTCCATAACCTGATGCAAAGTTCTTTTCATATCAGACACAGATGAACACTCCTCATCAATTATCTTTGAGCTAAGCAGAGTAGTCAACTCCTGCATACACTTCATATTTTCTTCATGAAAACCCTCAGCGCTACTCATATCACATGGAAGCCCAAATAAGTACTTTACCGCAACAACCCTTTCAGAGTTCAAACTTTTCCCATCCACGCAAAAGAGCTGAGCACCTGAAGACAATGTGCCAACAGCCTCAATCACAAATACTGGTGGAACATCCTTTGAATCAATATAACTTAATAAATTTTTCCAGCAGCATAGTAAAGGAGGATGTTTCCTCCATTCAAATCCATTAAAAAAACCATGCCTACTCTCAGATTCACATTCCTCAACACCAGAGGACTGGATATGCAAAAAAATGGACAGCAAAGCACTTTGACCTTCATTACAACAAACCAATTCTTTAAAAACGGATAGACAAGCAAGTAATTCTTCCCCAACTGGTAGGACCTTGCATAACTTGAGGAGACAAGATAAAATCAAGGAACAATCTTCGGTAGTCAATTTTCGGTAACTATCATACATCGCAGGGTAAGGCACAGATGTTCCGGATTCACAAATCAGTAGCAAGGACTTGAATGCAGGGATACACCAACCAAGCTGAGAAAACCCACATTTTGTTGCATTTCTGCTTTCTTGGAACTGCTTCCCATCTGAATAAATGGCACTAATACACCTCTCAAGCACTTTTGTGAGCATCCGAACAGCACCCTCTTTCAATAATAATGGTTTGGCAAGTGGATGCTCCAATAAGATAGCAAGAAAATCAAGCAATCTGTAAACCTTGTAAGCATCAGTGTCAGCCAATGAAGATGATTCAGAAAGGCAATGACAAATCCACAATATTATGGGACGCAAAAGCGTGGAAGCACTATCAGCATCTCGGTATGCTAAATGAACAATTAAAACCCGAAGCATGTCTTGTATCACAACCAATGTACTAGTAGCATAATGGAGAATAATCTGTGCAATTTTGTCAAGCTGTGGCTTCAAATGGCTTAGTAGCTTCTTGCAGTGCGCAGGCTGTAAATACCAGTTAACCTGTCTCTCCTTCTGAGGCCCCAATAATGTCCCAACAGCCAATGTTCTAAGAGCACTCAACATAGGCATTCCATTCTTCCAAAGCCAGACACCTTCTTCGGGAAACAGATCATTCAGTAGACACAGCAAACTGCAGGTTTCCTTTGGGCCAAACGTCAGTAATGAGGTAGCATGAAGACTGTCAAGTATGAAATCGAAAAGATGAGGACGCCAACCATATAATGGCCAACAAGAAAGCGCTGACACAGTAAGTTTGCAAACAGCTTCGAAACCAAGTGCAGAATTAGGATAAGAAGAGGATAAGTCTGCAGCACATGCAGCTAACTTGGGGCTCACTTCTTGATGCAATCGTATAAGGGAATTCATTAATTTTGTATTACTGTGCTTGTCCTTGGTTTCCCGCAATCTCTGCAAAAGAGTAATTAGCAATACCAAAGAAGGGATCAAAAGATCAACTACACTCTGCTCACGATAACGTTCCAGAAGTAAATCTGATGTCGAATTGCCTTCTGTGCCCTCATCGACAAGGTAATCACAGTTGTTGGAGGACCTCTCAAACATGAGCCTACAGTCAATTAGAACTGCATGGATAACTAGTATGGCACCTTCGTCGTACAGAGCATCAGCAACGGCCACATTTTCTGAAATGAATGCCAAGATTCGAAATGCTGTTGTCAGCTGAGCAACAGAAGAGTCACGAAGAGCAATGCCATGAAAATCCTTATCAGAAATAGGTTGTCCAAGTAGATTCTCAATAACATTACTATCAGAACTACTGGAAGAATCTCCAACAACATTCTCAACATCCATTGTGTCTGATGCTAGAATGCTTGTCGAAGCCACATGCGCATCCCCTCCAGAAGCTAACACGGCAGAATGCCTTAGAAGACCAATTGCCCCATTTCTATGATAAACCACACCAGCATCTATCCAATCTAACAGCCGTGTTGGAGCATCTTTTCTGTTGGACCCCGGCGAAGAAGAATGTAAGGCCTTGTGAAGTTCTGCAGCATGTTCGATCCAAGAACCCAGAGAAGATGCGGTCAAATCAGTGACAATTACTTCAAAAATCTCGGCAGCGGAGTGAAAGATTGCAAGATTTAGTGGCGGAGCTCCACTATTCAAGGAAAGTGGATCCAGTTCCTTGAAAGAATGCAATGCTTCCATCAAAACCGAAATAGCCTCTGGAAAATGCCCCAGAGCTAACAAAGCCTGACGCCCACAATCAGACCTAGAAAGACGACACAGTTCCCACAAAACCCATAAAATTTCTTCAGAGTAACTAGTTGATGTAAGCAAACGATCTACAGCATTAACCACCCTCAAATGTGTTTCAATAATCATTCCAATTTCCCATGGGCGACAAAAGAAACCCTTGGATATCAAGACAAATGCATAAGGAAGTGGGACAGACTCTTCCTTTTTCAAATCATCAGCACCCTTTAGGGAAAGAATTACTGTAGTGGAGAGTTCAGGCTGAAGTAGTAGGAAGATTAAGCCTGAGCGACAGGAAAGGAGTGAAAGAATAATGGCCTCAATATATGATGCAACTTCCACCAACATGTCTGTCACATGTCCCACTTCAGATCGTAAGATAGAAGATGACAACAATGCGGCTGACAAAGGAAGGAAACCCCTCTCCTTAAGAAGTGATAGCAAGTGTGAGTCAACATCACAATTTGATGAAGTAATGAAGTTACTGGTTGCTTTATATGGCAATAGACCTTCTGTTCCACCCAAAATCAAGGATCTGCTCCCACTGGCAAATGGAGAAGGATCTTCAATCGGGCCACGCATGTTAATCAATTTCAAGAGCTTTTTGAGTTGAAGTTTAGCACTGTTAAGCATGTCCAAAGTGACACTTGTAGTCCTACCAGCAGCAGAAAGACCTCCCAATACAGATAATACTGCACACTCATATCTGGAAGCTACTTCGTATAAACGCAAGCGATGAAGTACATAAGTTGCAAGAGAAGCAACATCATGAGGCTGTTTTCGCAATAAAAACAATAACTGATTATAACCTTCACTGATACGACAAGGAATATTTTCATCTTCACGAGGCCACCAACCTAGGAACCCTTCACACCCAATTGAATGCTGAGTAGCCTGCTCAACAACTCCAAGTAACATTAATGTAACAGCACTAGAGTTCTGAGTGCCAGGACAAAAAATATATCCAAGCTGCTCCATGCCACCATCATTTACAAAGTGAAAGCAGCTCTCTCTACCGGAGCACAAAACAAGAGCCACGCTCAACCACATAATGACATTTTTATTCTGTAAAAGCAAAGGATGTCCAATATTTCCAGAATTCTTATTAGAAGGGGAGTATTGGCTCAAAATATCCACCAACTTTTTAGAAGTAGCCAAATCATCCTCAGATTCAAGAACCATGCTCTCTGCCAAGAATTCAGCCAAGGACTTTCCAGATTCATGTTGAAGGCTATTACATATTTCCAGAAGCTCCTTCCTGGCCTCAGTAAATACTTCACAATTTCTTGATCTGCCCTCAGTAATTTGTTTCTGACTAATACCTCTGCTCTCCGTGGCATAAGAAGAGGCTGCTGACACCATAGAACTAACAACTCTATTGATTGCATCCCCAACGTTTGACAACTCCAAAATCTTAAATGTGAGCAGTAAAAATTGTTTGATCTCAACAGAAATATCCAATGGAACAGCATATAGAGATAATGCTTTTAGGGGAGATATGGATTCTTCAATTGTAAATTTAGAAGGGAGTAATACAGAAGGAAGGTCTTCAAGCTCTTCCTCAATAGAACAAACAATATTGGTCAAACAGCTATCTAAATCAATTTCAAAGTTGAACTGCCCAAGATCTTCCGCTGTGTTTCCGTATATTACCAAGGTAAGGCTGCGGTAGCTGCCCCTAACAACCAAATGACTAGTTACTACACCCTCAATTTCAAGCACATTGGAAGAAGAATGGGAATACAAAAAGGGCTGACAGAGCCGCTTGAATCTTGTTTCCCCTTCACACTGAACAAAAACCTCCAAAGCATATGAAGGAGGTGAAGCATTCTGTTCAAGGAACTCACACGCAGTGATGAGGATAGGTTCAGCAAATATTACCTCGTCCACGTACTCGTCCAGTTGAGGATGAACGAACGTCTGAGCGAACAGCACACAAGGCTCGGGACGACCCATTTTTTTCTTTGAAAGTGTTCTGCGACTGAATATTAGGTTAGGATCCTTTGCTCTGCCATCACCACCATTGTCACTCCAATTCTGAGAAATTTTCTGAAACCTTTGTGGAGCTTAAACCCCGAAATCGAAGATACAATTGACGCCGAACTAACGATTAAATACCAACTTCAGAGTAGAGAGAGCTAGGGTTTGTAAATTTAGCCCCAATACTGTGGAAGGAACGAAGAGAGAGAATAGCAGATAGAGTGTGCGGAGGCTGACGAATGACCTAATTTTGAGGCCCACGTCCTAAAATTTGGCATAAACAGAGCACCAAAACAGGTTCTGATGGACCTTCCATTGCGCCACAGGAGAGACGAGTTGCCCTAGCTATGAGTTTTGAATCGCTCTCTGTTAGTTTCGCCTCTTTGGCAATTCTTGATTTGTTAAGGGTTCGGTTATTGATCTTACGCGTTTTATCGAAAATAATATATAGTACGTGGTGTTCAATTCGGAATCTAACCTTAATCAGGTTTCTTTTTATATTTTAGGAAACTTGCTTCTTTAATTATTTTTCTGTTATCATTATATATTTTAAAGAGAAAAATAAAAAAATTATACTCCTACATGGTTTTAGGAATAAATTAAAATCAAATTAGATAAAAAAATTTCAATCACACTAAGCTAATTAAGAAATTCGCAAAGCATACTAACAAAAATAAATAAATAAATAAATAAAATTCTTTCTTCTCCATCATTCAACCATAGAACATAGAAGGAGGCAGTGGACTCGACCAAACATAAAAAACATGGTGCCTCAAAAAAATAAAAATAAAAACAAAACAAAACAAACAAATTTTGGGAAAAAAATTCCTTGCCAAGAAATCTTCAAATTCTGCACACATGTAAAGAAATTATTTCAGAAGTCTTGAATTGATTTAGAAGCAATCCAATTTGCATTGTAAACATCTATATGTAAAGATATAAATCAACCACCTTGATTCTAGGTTGATTTGTATTCCTTGATTGTAGGGTTCATTGTATTATTTTCTATTGCTTGATTTTAGGGATTGTATTATTGTAAATCTCCTCTATAACTACGAAGGAAGGCAGTGGTATCAGAAACATAATCATTTTTTCATCTCCAAGTAATAATCAATTTTTTTTTTTTTTTTTTTTTTTTTTTTTTTTTTTCACCAAACCTACAATGTTTTCTTCTGACAACACAACGCCCTCATCTCCTTCCCTTGCCCCGGCTTTACCACTCCCAATTCATCTCTCCTGGCTGCACCTCTGTCTACTCCCACTCTGCTTCACCATATCTCATATTTAGTCCCCATTAAATTTGACCACTCCAACTATCTCTTATGGAAGAGTTAGTTTCTCCTTATTCTTCAGTCTCATGATCTCCTATGTTATGTTGATGGCTCTCTCTCTCTCTCCACCATCTGAGACTATTTAGAAAACGGATGATAAAGGTGTTGGTATTTTTTTTTTCATAAATAAAAGTGTTGTTATTACTGTTCTTAATCCAGTGTTTATGTCTTAGACTCGTATTAATCAACTTCTCTTAAGCTGGATCAATGCCACCCTTACCGAATCTATTCTTACCAAGTTATTAGGCTACCAACTTCTCATGACGTCTCATGACGTCTGGCTTGCTTTGGAAAAAGCATTCTTTGCCTCCTCTAGCCAACACTCTCTTTCCTTGCGCTTTCATCTTTAAAACCTTAAATGAGGGACTCATTCCATCACTAACTATCTTCAAGAATTTAAAAACATCTTGGATGTTATCGCTGCTATCCAACAACCTCTTTCCGAATCTGATCTCGTTTTACATGTCCTCACTGGTCTCGGCCCCCGGCTATGAATCTTTTCGTATGACGATTATGGTTCGCTCCAACCCTATTTCTTTTGTGGAACTACAATGTCTTCTCCAGTCTCATGAACTCCATCTCTATCATACTACCAATCTCTCTTAGCAAACTGTTCAAAATACTGCTTTTGTAGCAACATGTGGTGGTCGCGGTGGTCGTGGTTATCAAGGTGGTCGTGGTTGAAACTCTCCCACCTCTTCTAGTTTTACTTCAAATCCCTCTGGCCAACCTGTGATACCCCCCAATTTCGAAGACACGGGTTGATCAAGCCCGCACCCAAAACCAGGGGGTATAAAAAGAAATTGATATTTTAAATGAACACAGAATACAAAAGGATAATATAATAAATAAATAATACCGCTGAAAATGGAAACTAAATAATAATAATTAATCCTCTAAATAAATCCAATAATTCCCAAATGTAAAAAATCCTCTAGAATATAACTCGAGAATCCATATCATAGACCCTGATAAAATCCCATAACTAAAATAATAATAAATGTCTAAAATTGAATAATAAAGACATAATGAAGAATCCTACACCGACGACACCAGAAGAGTGATGAAGAGTAGTCTCTGATCTATACGAGCAACATCTAATCTTGCTATTGACAAGAACCAGAAAAATATAACAAAGAAGGTGGGTCAAAATCTTCAAACAAGTCCTTTCCACAACAACCCAACCAGAGACCCGATAAATGATACATCCCTAGATAACTCATGCAATATCTCCATAGTGGATAGGTAAATATATATCCACACTAAAAACTCTCACTGGACTATAGGACAGACTTAATCAGATAGTGAGTATCTCATGAAAAAAAACGTACACGAGGTAGTAACGAGTCCTCCTTCTACCAGGGCACACACATCTCTTATATCCAGCTACCCTATCCCAATCACCAATATACGCGTCAATCCTAACCACTGATCCCGAGACCTCAAGCTCGTATCATAGTACACCTAATAATATATATCTAGCCATATCCTGACAATGACACATACACGTATTATGAGTTGTACGCAGTGAAATATTTAGAAAGTTTTGTACTTCTAGAAACAGATATGTGTCTTTCCAACTTTACTTATTTTAGCAATTAAATAATTAATCTCGTGCAAGATAAAATAAAGCAAAGTAAAGAGTTAGAGATGACACCATGATTTTTAATGAGGAAACCCCAGTTGATAAAATACGTCAATTATTTGCACGGGAAAACCTCGTGGACTGAGCAGTCCAAAGTAAACTGATCCACTATGTTTGAAACAAAGTACACTAAATTTTGACTCTGGCTCACACCCTATCATTCTACCAAACACCAATAGCTGAAAATCCTATGGCTTTGCGACGTCCCGTCCAACAGCAACTGTGACGACCCTGGATTTTTTAACCCAGTGTGTCCTGTGATGACCCAATACGGATCCAAAATGCGGAAGCAAAAGATAGAACAATGGTCTTTAGAGATACAACACTCCTCTAAGACACCAATGTGACCCTCAACGAGGTCACAAAACCCAAAGGAAGTAAATGCGGAAGCAACGTTTCAAAAACGGATAAGAATGAACCTAGGAGCAAAATGGTCATTTCACACTGAAATGAGTGCCACCGTGCACACTATTGGAAAGACAACAAAAAATTAACAAGAATAAACTCAATAATCGCATGATTCGGAGTCCGGACGACAAAAATATCAAGATCTGAAGTCGAAGGAAGGGAAACCCTATCCCGGTTCGAACCAAAAACAGACACTACCTTACTAAAACTTGAATAACTTGAGCCACAAGAAGAATATAAAGCTCTAATTAGTACCATTGGAAAGCTTATTTCGACATGATCAATTTAGACTAAAGAATGGACCAATTCGGAGTTAAAACGAAGAAGATATAATGATTTGAAGTCGGAGGTGCAGTGTTGAACCAAGACACACATACACCCGTGAACAGTATCTCGAGCGCTTGAGCAAGGGCTTTGAGAGCTCCAAAATTGCCCTGAGAGTTCTGCCCAAAGTTAGAGCGCTCGAACCCCCTTTAGAGTGCTCGAACTGCTAAAAGCTTAGTAGAAATCTGAGTTTGAAATATGATTTTGAGGACTTTCTGGGCCCTTTTGAAAAAAACACAAAGAAGAAACTACCCTCAAAATCATGTTTTCTAGCCAACCATACCAAAAGAAAACTTTATTTTTCATGTGAAAATCCCAAAATGCCCTTAAATCAGATTAGGCTCAAAATGGCGAAAATGCAACTTTGCACCAAGTATGCATTTAAACCCAAATGCATTTCTAGGCTGAAATGAATATGCACGTAAATGTAATAAGTGATTTTGAGCACGCGATAATGGTCCGCGGCTCCAAGAAATGGTCGAGTTAAAATCCGACCCCCCAAAGGCCAAAAAGGCGAAAATGAATTTGAAATGGATATTTTGAAAACCAAAATTAGCAAATGATTGGAAATTACTGTTTGGCCCTTGGCCACACTTCATGCATGATTAATGAGATCCTACGGAAGAATCAAAACGGAATTTCCACACCCAATGCAAACATAGTGAGATAATAACTTAACATTTTTTAATATTTTCATAATATTTCATGAAGTCAAAACTACATAGGATACAAATACATGTCATTGGCCTCCGGCCTCATCTCATACATGTCAAATACATTGAAAAGAGTGTACTCGTGTACACATTACATGTTTAAATTCAAATATACATATTTTGACATATAAGGCTACAAATGGCTTTTCAAGCCAACCTTTACAAGAAATGAAACTTCAAGTCCACCAATCATCGAAGCATGACGAGAATCGCAACCTTGGTTCTTGTACCTGAAATATGCCCCAGTATCGTAGGGGTGAGTAACATAAAGCTACTCGTAGGAAGTGAGCATGCATCGACCTACGTTTTACAAGTTTGCATGATTTAATTATTGTGGTTCATTCCACCTAACGTCTATGTTAAAGGTGAGACTCAAGGAGCATCCTAGCTACCTAAGATCATTTCTAGCATCAATCACCTCATTCATGCAATTTTAGCAACATAGGGTCATACTTACACAAGGCAACAACATAGGAGCATACTTACACAAAGTAACATATAGATTCTCAAGGTAATCAACTTGAAGTCTAAAATGTAACATCAACTAAATATAAC